AGCGATGGAATAAACTCACCAGTTTACAATTCTGCTTTTGGTTGGTCCGAAATCTATTGCTAACTCATCACTATTGGTAGCAAAGGCACCCGGGGACGGTCATTCTGTCCCTTCCAACACCGCCCCGACTGATTGAGGCGATATCAACTATATAGTAAAAAGGTACGATATTATGCACAATCATCACGAGTTACTGAGAAGAAACCTAGCCAGTTCAAAATTGCAGAGGCACATGGTTGTGGAACAATTACGCCCAAAATCATCGCGAGGTCAGTTTCAAATTACAGTAGAAGACCAGGGAGGCCCAAGAGGAGTGCAAAAATGAACCCTTGTTCAATTTTGAATCAGCAATGAGCACGATTGCCTTGAAAGCATTGTCTAAGAAGTGACCGAAAAGTAACTGCTGTCTTGATTGCCAAACGCAAATGACAGCGCGCACTGATAGCGCCGCAAGGCGAAAACAGTTGTCATCACTTTCGACCGATGTTTGCTTGAAACGGTCGGAGATCGACCCGAATGGGTTGGGTGGCACCAGCTTATCAGAGAGCACGAACGATATGTCCTATCTAATCAGCTAAGAAGTTAACTTGTTAGTCAGACATTGTCGGTATCCTTTCCTGCGGGTACTCCGAAACCGTAAAAGGTTTATCGGGCTGAGTTTGATACGATCAGTGGTTCGGCCTTGCCATCATGTTTACCATAAAACCTTTCGTCACTTGAAGAGAGGACGACGTTAGGCTGGTTAAAAGCTGTTGGCACGATGAATTCGTGAAGACGAGCAGGATTAATATTAGGTTGTCCGGAAAGTTCTCAGCGTTTTGAGTGTTTCACTTCAAACGATCATAACTTTCCTTAATACTCATCGGATTTAATCGAAATAGGCACCGTTCGAATCAGCACACTTTTGCCAATGTGACACCATTCGATAAATCCCATCAAAGAAAAAACTGGGTGGTAGAGAATCCACGAAGTCCATGTAGGCCTTTTTTGCCTGGTCCTGATTGATGAAGGGTTCCCCAGCAAGGAAGAACTGAAAATGTTTGAAAAGGTGATAGTCGGCTGTTTAAAGGTCTGGAGAATATGGCGGATGAGGTAGAACTTCGACCCCCAATTCGTAGTTTATGGATAGCGATTGTGAAACGTGTGTTCTCCCGCAAAAGAATCGGACCCTTTCTGTTGACAAGTGCTATCTGCAGCTGACGCAATTTTCGGTACATTTCGTCGATTTCTTCACAGAAGGACTCTGCTGTGATGGTTTGGTCTTGTGACAAAAAGATATAGTGGATCACACCAGCCGATGACCACCACACTGTGACCATAACCTTTTTTTGGTGAAGATTCGGCTTTGGAAATTGCCTCGGTGGTTCGTCGGCGTCCAACTACTGTCCGTAACGTCTCCTGTTATCACACATGATCCACTTTTCATCACACGTGACAATGTTCCAAAAACGGGTAGTTTCTGTTGCGCAAAAGCAGTGAAGAAGAAACCTCAGAGCACGCTACCATTTCTGCCGGTCACTCAATTGTTGGGACCCTCTATCGAGTTTTATCCGCCGTTTCAAGTGCGATTCCAGACCATCTGCAAACATGGATTTGCCAAGCCTGGCTTCTTCTGCAATCTCTCGGAATTCGTTTTGTGCTGCGGTCAGCCCTCCACAAACGTCTTCAAATCCTCGCTCAGGTATGGCTTGTAGGTCGACGCTATGAGGTCATCTCAGCGGGTGAATCTCCAAACGACTTTTGTCGAACCTTACCCACGGTTTCCTCTAGGACTATCAGGCCCCACACCTGGTTAATTTGTTGAGCTGTCTCGATTGCGGATTGACCCAATTTATAGTCGAAGAAAAAAATCGTCCGAAGTTGCTCTTTTGACATGCTTTAAAAAGTCTTGGGAAAAGAGGGTTTATGAAGCAATGGTGAAACGGCAATTATACCACCAGATAGCGCAAAGAATTCTCTTTAGGATCACTATGACACGCAGGAGAATGAGTTTTTTACATCAGCATATGAATGTACTAAAAAATGGTAACCACAAAGCGTTGAGAACTTTGGACAACCTAAATATGTCCTGGCAGAATAGAATTCCGCGCTCCTGAGCAGGCGTTGCGTAACGCCTTTTTTCAAAGAATGTACCTCAGATTCACACCATATACTATGCCACATTTTGATCCATGATCCAGGATATTCCCCGGAAGCGTTCGCACGTGGATACACCGACCCCTAGATTAGCCTGACACATTCGCGTATGGGAGAAAAGTCCCGCGGCCGGCCGGCAGCAGGTCAAACACGCTTGAAAAGGTCTTGTAGGCTGAGAATCTGTCTCGAAAGCGTTAGTTTTTTAGTTTGACTTCTTGAACGCAAACATAAGAGTTGCTCAGCGCAGAAACTCCTTTTAAAGGCAATTCCCGCGACCACAGTTCATAGGTAATACAGTTCAAAAATAGAATTGCCGTGTGTTTGTTGACTTATTGAAGAAGAAGGAACCACGAAAAAGCGCCCGCAATAAGACCCTCTTTATTTCAATTGATCATGATCCCGGACGAGCCCAAGGTGGTCAAGATCGATTGCATTGGATTGCAAAAGGGGCGATACATGACACTGATAAGAGACGAGAGAGGCCAGAAAATGATGGGCAAGAGAGAACCAAGGCAGTAATGCCACACGACGACGCGTCACTCGCGAGCCGTGATGGGCCCTAGGCGCCAAATGGGGCCTAAAACATGAGCGCCATGCTTCATGCTTACTGCTTTTTCAACTGTTCAAAAGCTAGCATATCTTCTCTACTCTTGCCCGGGTTGAACCAATCACTACCGTTTATGAGGTCGTACTCCTTAGTTTTATCGCCGGAACGTGCCTTTAAAGTGGCTCTGGTGCGGTCTCTGGAGCCAAAATTAGCCGCGTGACCTGCGCTGTAACTGTCGTGTAGTGCTTTTGCTTCCATGCGGATGCGATATTGTGTTCAGGAGGTCCCAGTGTACCTTGGCTTGAGTTGCAGAGTCAAGCCATAATCTACGTAAAGGCAGATCTCATGTAGTGTGAATTTAGCAGAGTGGAGCAGTAAAGAGTAAATAGTGATAGTGATATGCTATAAGATATTTAACCTGCTTTCCTTCCTCCTCAATCAGGGGACGGCATGTCGAAGAATCCTTTCAGAGGAGTTGTAAGCCGTAGGCAATCGGTCTAGGAAGGGACAAAGAGAGGTGTTACTGCTCGTCACGTCATGTCTAGCCGTGGCTAGTGAGTTTTCCGAGCTGCGATAAATTTTCGGGTTTCTGATTTTCTTGGTTGGTTTTTGGTTTTTTCTTTTTTTCCCGTTTCATGTGCCCTGTGTGCCGCCTTAATTGGATGCGTTGCAAAAGTGCTATACAACCACTGATACTGATAGTTGACGTTGATAAGTGACTGGCCCCTTTGATACACTCGGAATCCCTGAGATGAGGTAGGCGTGGCTGCGTACTTCAACGAAACATCGTGGTGGCTCTGCTTTTGGATCTCTGTCCAACAAAGAACATGATGGCGGTTGTCTCAAATTTAAATATCCCACGAGTAACCAGTTATGTGCCATGTTTGAGTGCCACGCCTACCCCGTCTCAGGGATAAGGAGTATAAATGACTGGCCTTTCCCCCCCCCCTTCCTTCCTCCCTCCCTTCTCGTAGGCGCCAACCTTTCTTAAGAAAAATCGGATAAAGCTGTTGGAAGCTGTTGAATTCAGGAAGATTTTAGATAGAAAGGTCGTACTAGAGGAGGAACTATGGTGGGAGGGGGGGGGGGAATTACGGCCGTCGTCTCACACACCGCGATGTCTCACTCCTCTTCACCCTTATAGGTACAGCATTATTCACAAAACAACTAAAACGGCAGAAACTCGAAACTTTTAGATAATTTATTTCCAAAGATCCGCCTTCACTCTGTACGGATAATACGACTCCCCCAAGGATTGTTTGAACATGTTGCTAACTTTCCCAGCTGAGGACTAAGAAATTAATCCTACGTGTAGTCGCAATCTATGACTCTCACAGATGGTAGCAATTTGCACGTGACCGCTGCTTTCGTTTAACGGGTATTTAATGGCTTAAGCCAAAGCAGTTTGCAGAGAGCGCGGAATGGTGAGGTTGGCACTGTAAGTTTGAACCATGCAAAATCCAAAGAATCAATCCAGCTCTATGGAAGCTGCCACGAGTATTACGCAGAGCAGCTCTTTCTACGACGCGAGTTACCACAATTTTTTCTGCAATCAAGCCGCTGGCGTTTCACTATCTGTCGCACATATTCCAGAAGAATCTGCTGAATCACAAAACTCTGGCGAGATGGTCAGTTCACTGATCAGGCCAGCCCGTGTTAGGCATAGCTGCGATAAATGCGATACTTTGCTCCAGAAATTAGTGCAGGATGGCTATATGTGGGAAAGTGAAGCGAAGTCAAACGCCGAAAACCCTGCAAAAAACGCATTTGTCCTGCACGCACAACGGACGCGCTTTTTGGAGACGAGTGGCCTTTTTGCGCCATCCGTGCCACAACCGCTTCGGTAGATACGCTGCAGGTATGTATTCCTACATGCAAGTAGCAACGCTCCATGTCAGTTGTACTACATAAATGGAGCGATAAGAGTAGTAGTGTCGATGTGACGGCACGGCCATTTGTGGGCGGGCGGTTACGGTGGGTGTCTGGGTCGGCATGCTGCACCTTAAAGCGCCATAACGGCGCCTTAGGTTGGTAAAGGCGCCACGCAGCGCCCACTGAAGGGCACAATATTCTTGGCCCGGGCATATTGACCCTGCACGCCATGTCTACTTATCGTGCCATTTGCTTTTAAGCCGCAAAAGCCGTGTAAAAGCCGAGTTGTGTCAACACTTCAACACTGGTTCCAACATACACTACGAAGAGAGCCACGCACGATGCCAAGACTTATAGAAAGTCGATCATGGATGAAAGCTGACATATTTTGCCGAAAACAAGTAATAATATGCAGTAACATTTCATTACGAATTACACATAAGCGTTAGTATGGGATAACTTCAAGCTCCCTGTTGAAGAACCCGCCGTGATGACTTTTGTTCAGATTCGAGAAAGACTTGACAAGATCTGCCACGGATTGGTCAGTCTGAATGAAATTGGAAATAGTAGGTGGAGAGCGAACGGATGGTGTTTGAGTTAATGAAATGCTCACTGTTATTTGGGCATCTGACCCTCCCATTTCCGTCTGTACCCAACCAGGACAGAAAGACGCGATAAGAATATGATCCGATTCCAGATCGATCGCCATCGTCTTCATCAGAGAGTTCAGTGCAGTCTGGAAGAATTGGTAAGTTAGGAAATTCATGGGAACAAGTACGTATGAGAACTAATTACCTTGCTAACATTGTAGGCCAGCACTTGCTTCTCTCCTGAGCCCATTGTATTACTAGCGATCGAACCAAGGGTGGATGAAATGTTGATGATTGCCGATCGATCCACTGATAACTCGTCCGAAGTTCCATGCTTAGCAGCTTTACACAAAAGCGGTAGGAATACCTATGACTGATGGACTTTCAGGCATGATTAGGGTGATGTCGGTAAGGCAAGCATGAACCTGAGTTAGTACAGCGACGCTTGCCGTGTTGATATTGAAGTTCTTGATAAGATCAGCTCGATTCGGTTCCTGTTTCGTGCGGTATTTCAATAAGACACCTGCGTTATTGACAAGTACGGTCAGTCCTTGTTCCCCAACAATCTTTTCTACCTGAATTTCGGTACTTTTCAAAATCCTTCCCAAGCGCTAACTCGTGATGGAACTAGACTACAGCACTGCTGCACATGAGAATCGTAGCCTAAGATATTCAGATTTTCAGAGATATTCTTAACTTCTCGGGCTCCCACGAACTTCACTTCTTGGAGCTCCCATGCCACTTTTTACATTTGCACTTCTTACAGAACTACATTCCATATCGCTAAGTTGAGGAGGCGTGGCCACGCAGTTGGTTCGAGGATGGAGGAGCCGCGTTTTCCCGTTGGATATGGTCGTTTTGACGGAGAGTAGGGGGTGCAGTGGTGTAGTGGCAAGTGGCACGCCTCACACGCACATTTCCTAGGGGTCGAGTTCTCCGCCACTGGCTCCCGCCCAGCCATAGCGGTTTTGGAAGAATAAAACACTGGACTTGCACATTGACTGGCCCCTGCAAGTCATTGTGTGGGTCACATCACATTCATAAGCTGCTGCGATTCTGAATAGGAGTAGAATGCGTGTCGTATCCCAGAAGGATTGATAAACGGCGGAGATACTATCCTATCTTTTAATTGGCGTTTTGGGACCATTTTTATGATGCCTTTGTCGAACGCGAAACAAATAGTTCCTAGCAATATTTAGTTAAATTTATCCCACAAGAAACATCCGCTATCCCAAGCAAATGTTGCATTGCCGCGAGCATTTTGATGAAGTGCGATAGCCAGCCTATCCTATGTAAGACACGCACAGGATTACGGCGCAAGCTGTTTGATCGCTAGCCGATTGTCACCTTCCGCCTTCGAAACGACAGCCACTACGGAACGTGTAGCATCGTAAAAATCGGCCGCGAAGCAATCAGAGGGCACCTGTGAGGGAGGTGCAGTAGTTGTGAGTTCCCGCCCATTGATCATACGCGGAATGCGAATTTCTTCGCAAAAGGGAATTTTACCTCAGCGTACGCCTTCTTTATAGAATCATCGCAAGTCACGTCGAGCTTCACAATGCTCAGTCGGCTGTCATTGATCTCCTTGAGCTTCTATAAAAAGGATTTTGTAAGTAATAAAGCAATACTGTAAGTAAACCTCTCTCCCATCTGGAAGATAGTGCGCACCAGCACTTCAGTCTTTGTCGCTGCTGAGGCCGGGGCGTGCCAGGCTGGGGGTGGGTTTGACACGACGTCAGCCTATTTTCCACCATTCGTTGTCGCTTGCCTGCTTCAACATTTGGTAAAGGACAGGTCAGCACAGCACAAAATGCGGCCCCCTGACACACCCCAGCATCCACAGCGAACAAGACTATACTCACAGTGGCGTTTTCTGGATCGCGTGCGGTGGCGATGACATGGCGAATTTCCTTGTTCTTCAGGAATTCCTTCACAAGGCCATATCCAATGCCACGATTAGCCCCTGTCACCATCACAGAATGCGGAGCCATGATTAATCGTCTTGTAAATAACAATCGATTTTATCTTCAGGTACGTTCCATATCTCGCAGAAAGAGAGGGCGTGGCTGCGTACTTCATTCGAAGGTGGAAACGGCTGCGCTTTTGATGGCATATTGCCGTTTTGTGCAGTTGTAATCATGTACTTGCCAATAATGAGGCAGGATGACAGCCGCTGCAAATAAAAATGTCCACGGAAAGACGCATCCGGAACTGTTCATTTGGAGTATGCAGCCACGCCCTCTCTGAACTTCGGGATATGGGGTGTAAAACATGCAATGTATGACGTGCATCTATACTTGCAATAGAAATTCATTCTGCAACGAACGACATAAAGATGCAGAAATGGAGCATTAAAAGTTACTAATTTACGGCTTGCGCATCGATGGTTCCTGCCGCTGGTCGTGACGTTTTCACTTCAGGAACTTTAAGTTTTTTTTGCGCATAATGGGCTTCGGTTTGGACCATCGACCGCCAACAAAGTTCAGTTCTAATTGACAATAACTACTCAGTGATAATGATACTGAAATGGAGGAGCGGGCGATTGATGCGGAAGGCAATTTCCTATCGTATTAAGACAGCGATAAATCTGAAGACATCTGTTAAATTAAATGTTGGGTGAAATATTAGAAGTTCCGTTTCTGTCATGTTTTCTGCAGCCTTTTTGCTGCAGACGTTATGGCGCGTAAGGAGGGCTGGGTTTGGCGCGACGCCAGCCTGCTATCGGCCACTTGTTAAACCAGGCAAGCGGCAACGAGTGGTGGGAGATCGGCTAGCGCTGCACTAAATACAGCCTCTGAAATGCAAGAACAAGCAGAAAAATGCAAGGCTCGGGGGGGGGGGCTGGCGTGCGAAGACGCGCTCTTCACACGGATACGCCTTATGAATTGATATCGTCGCAATAAGTTGGGGCGGTTTTGGAAGCGATGGAATGAGACCCTCCCCGTTTACATGACTGGTTGTTTTCTTCCTGAATCGATCGCTAAACAATCGCTATTGGTAGAAAGGGTAGCCGCAGACATGGTCCGCCCGAGATTTCGACTATCTCTCAGAAAACATTTGAGATGGGGGCAAGTCGTCGTGGAACAATTCAGTTCAGAAGCGTGGGGAGGTCAATTGTGGATTACGGCAGAGGAGCAGGTAAGGGTATTCAAGATGAGTGGAGGAAATAAATGATGCAGATAATGGAATGACCGGAAAATACCTGCTGCCTCAGAAGCTAAACGAAAATGGTTGCGAGCACTCAAAGTGTCGCAGGGGCGCAGCCGTTTGTCACCACCTCAGCCAGTGTTTCCTTGAAAAAGGCGGTCGAAGATCGACCCGAACTTCGAGTTCGGCGGCACCAGCTAAGTGATCGAAGATCGATCTGAACTCGAGTTCCATGGCACCAGCTAGGTGATCGAAGATCGATTTGAACTTTGAGTCGATGGCACCAGCTTATCAGCGGAAGCAAACGCCGGATATATCTTATCTAATCAAAAGAGAAGCTAAATTTTTATTTTGTCGGTATCATTTTGTGCGGGTTTTTCCAAATGGTAGAAGAATTATTGGGCCGAGTTCAATAGGATCACTGGTTTGGCCTTGCAATCATGGTAGCAAGAAACCTTTTGTATCAGTTGCAGAAATGACTACAGGGAGCCGAAACGTAGGGTTGACCGTATAGCAAGCGTTACCACACAGGTCCCCCCCCCCCAAAAAAAAAAGAAGCCGCTTTGGCGTGAAACACTACTCACCCTTTACTGCGCCTTTCTCCGGCCTTCATGTCATAGTTTGAGCCTAATTTTTTGTACGAAACAAACTTTCCTAGAGCATTTGATCGAGGGTTTGACCAACTGAGCATGCTACCACACATGCCGCGAAAACTTCTGCTGGGTATCGAAATGCCCAGGGGCCAGGACACCTGAAAACACCTAAGGTGGTGAGAACTTGTCTCAGAGAGCAGTTTGACTTCCTGAATGCGAACATCACATTCGATTGGATGGAAAGTCTCTACGCTTCCGTATGGCCTCAGGAGCCTTAGACTAACTGGCCGTGAAAAGCAGATTCTGTGGTACCGGTGACAGCGCTTCCGCTTCAAGCGAATTATTCGTGCTCATGGGTCAAAGCTCTCACCCCGACGGATTCAATGCAAGGCCCAGAAAAATTTGGTCAACTAGCATGAATCTCCGAATAGTGGATCTCTTGAAGAGGCAAATAGCCTTACTGTGATATATTGAACAGATATTTGACTTTGAGCTCTTAAAGCTCATTAAAATAGCAGCCTTCATCAAAGAAAAACGAAATATTGGAAAAAGAGAACAACTACAGATAATCAGTCAGACAGCAATCGTTGAGAGGGATCTCATTAAGATCATCGTACTTGTACTAGCGCTCGTACTTGTCCCACTGGGTGTCGTATTTGGACGTATCAGTGACTTTTCCAATCACGAATAAAGTAATCTGGTTTTTAATTCCTCCTGATTTTTCCCAGTTTCATATACGCTGTAATGCGCTCTAACAGCAGCGGCACAGAAAGAATACAACTACGTTACTGATAGTTGACTTTGAGCCAGTTGCCTAGAGACCCGGCCTCCCCATTTACCCCTCGTCATTAGACTTTTTTCCTGGAAAAGTTGAAAAAAATTTGTTGGAAATGGGCAAAGTTAGTAGGAAATTGGAATCTGGATGATAATAGGTAGAATGGGGAAGGAAAAGTCGCACTAGAGGAAGAAGCTTTGAGGAGCTTCTCCTACTGAAATACCATTTTCACATCATGGCCAACAGTATCCTTTCAACTCTAATAAACACTGTACTCAAACTATCGAATGGCAGAATTCCAAGACTTTCGAAGAGTTAACTTTTTCGACAGCGGCCTTCACTCTGGGCCATAATAGCATGACTGTCCCAGAAGGACTTGTTTTGAAACATGAGCTACTTTCCCACTAGGGGGGGGGGCAATTATCTAGTCTGTAGTCCAATGCTATTACCCTTCATGGGCTACCGGTCAGCTTGCTTCTGTGCTCAAAAGTTATATCATCCAGAAGCCTCTATTATTTTTTGTTATGATTATTTATTTGCCTAGACGCTTATAATTTCCTAGGTCGAAGAGGAAATCGAATTTCTAGCAATTCAAAACGTCACAGCGATCAAAATAGCACAGCGCACTTCGGCTTGGAAGGGAGGGGGAAGAAGCATTTAGCTTTCGCTACATCCCATCGTCCGTAATCTGTAGAGCCATGAAAGGTACGCATGAAATTTAATAGAAGCACCACGAATTGTCAGGTTCTTGTAAAGAATACCTGTCTAGCAGAACGAACGAAGCGAAGCAGCGAAAGTGCAAAATGCCCCCTTCAACCCGAACTGCGCCCAACAGGCTTATAGGATCACCACTTTGTCAGCCGCACTTCGCGTTCCAGCGATTGTCAGTCCTATCTTTTTTCGTGGTATTATCGCTTTCGCTGCGGAATTTGGGTTAGTTGGCGCGATTACAAATTAGGATTTATCTCTGTTAATCAACTAGGCAATAAACTGATGTTGAAAACGGATTGAAAACGAGACATCATTCGCTTGGATCGTCCGACGTACTTCTAGGCCTTCTTTTAGCTTTTAATACTGGACTGGCAAGGAATCGCGGGGGTTCCTTTTACGATTACGACTTAGACGACTCGGGACAGACTCGTAAAGCGTTTGATTCCGGGTTTGGTGTATTTTGGGTTGCTACACTTCGAACATAAGCATTGCTGGACACTGAAAGCCACTTCCTTGATTTCTTGTATGTTTACGTTTTATTTACTTGGAGGCAATGGCGCGATGGCTACGGGGGGGGGGGGGAAGGGCGGTTTCCGAAGAACGTCACTTGTGGAAGAGCTGGCTGGGTGTGGCCCAAATGCCCTCACGCAACCATTCAACCAAAAGTTGGCAGCAACCCCCACCGCCCTCTTTCCCCCCGAACCCCAGCCATCATACCACTGCCTTTAATCTTGGTCCCTCACGTCTTGCCTTTGAAAAAAACTGTAAGCTCACCTGCGTGCGGATCCTCGTCGTTGCTTTCGCGGGACAGTGTGTCGTGGGACAGCGTGTGAGCTGCAGTAGCATGTCATTTCCTTCAGTCAAAAGTCCTCGGGGAGGGGGTTGGAGAGTGCCATACTCGCCCACAATGTCCATACTCCCTCGTTGCTGCCACCGCAGCCATTACACGCCTGACCATTAGCCAAACTTGCAACTCGTCCGCCTTCTCTCACTTCTGGTGTTCTCTTCTTCTGAGTGCATGTTCGCTGGCGACCTGTGCATCTCTGCAAGTGGTTTACACAATTGAAGGAATAGCGCCGGGCGATTCACTGAGGTCTGTTGGAGCTATTGAACCCCTCCTAAACGAGGCCAATCTCACCAACACTCGAGTTGGTCATACACACTCCTAGAGTTTGCGGCTTTTCCTTTCAGTTTAGAGTAGAGGTCCTCACTTGACCACTGTAATTCTGCTTCCGCTCAAGGAGTCCTTTATGCGCCTCCAAGGTTGTCAAATACTTAATTTTATAGAGGCAAACTGTTTAACAGTCTGTTTATCCTGCTCCTTGCTGTATGTGGGGTAAATGGGTAAGCAGCTGCAGTAGCGCGCCCCTTCTTCTGGTTGAAAGTATTCGGAACGGACTGGAGGGAAGAAGCAATACCGGGCGGCAGAATCTGTTCCCAAATTGGGCTACGCAAGCGCCAGTCCACTTGGCTAACTACAGCCTACCTTGTTACTTGTCTGCGCCCTCTCCCTTCTGATCAATCTCTTCTCCTGTATGCGTGTTTCGCTGTGGGACCTTGCTAGCAGTCCGAAAGCTGCACATTGCGCGGGCGGAGTATGGAAAGAGCGGAGTATCATTACCCCTCCAAAACCATTCCCGTGTATTTTTAGCCACGGAGGTAAACCTCACTGTTGCAGCTGGGACCCAATCACTTCGCCATAAGGAACGACCTTTTATGGAGTCGGGCTCAAAATTGGTTTCTGAAATTTGTTGAAATTTGGTCA